TTAATTTGTAAGTTAAATATTTGTTTATAAACTATGACATAAATGTATGAATCATATGGTGAAAAACTGACTTTAAAAAATAAATCTGTTCTTTTCTTCTTATAAAAGGCTAAATAAAACAAATATTGGTGGTAATTTCTGACTCTAACTCTACAAACAACAGCCCATATGATTGGTAGTTGTAAACTGTTTCTGTGTATCGTTAGGCTTATTATATTGTGAAGATCTTTCATAGCAAAAGATCTATCAGGGGTTAAATATGGATAATCCCATTTTGTTTGTTGTTTTTAATCCTTGATGTTCACCTCACTTTTTTTCTTCCAGACAGAACCCGAGGCATGAGTGGCTGTTAAATTTGTATGTTTGGACCACATCACTGCCCCAGAACCCGGAGCTGCTGTCCTCTTTACCTTTAGCTTGTCTCTTGTCCCTTGAGGTCCTCTCCACCTCCTCCCAGACACGTCATGTCCGCAGCGGTGGAGAACAGCGTCCCAGCATCTGCTGACCCCGCAGCTCCACCTCCAGCCTCCACCTCCAGCACACCGCCCAGCTCCCCAGCGGCAGCCAAGACCCCGTTCAAGAAGGAGAAGAAAAGGGGTGAGCTGTGAAACGTGACGCCGTCATAAATCCATTTAACGTTTTTCAAAATGGCTTGGTTTGCTTTTGTTTCTCTAAGTAACGGGAAAAGCCAGACAGATGAGGTTCCTCAAACTCTCTCCACACACAATCTGAAAATGTTTCAGCAAAACCAAACAGAGTAACCTCTAAATGTAGAATAAATGTTTTCAGTAACCGACAAATTTAAAGGCTCCTCATGCCTGTTTCTGAGACTGGTTTTTGTTCCACTTGTTTTTACAGGTTCCTTTTTTTTTAATCTATAAACTATTTCCTTGTTCTAATTTTATTCCAGCTTATAAAATGTTCAGTGTAAAAACCAAGCAGCCTCGTACTGTTACAGATGTCTTCGCCATTAAATGTGGCATAAATCGTAAAAAAGGATCTTTGTTAGATGTGTTTAATAAATCTTGCACCAGAAGGTTAAACAATCTGGTTTTGTAAAATATATAAATATATGAAGCATGTGTTACAGAGATGTTCAGACTTTTCCAGCTGCAGTTGCTGGTAAAGTGGATCAGAACCTCTCCAGGTCAACTCCCTGTGAGGGCTTCAGTTTGAATCTCCAGATATCAACATTCATTTAAAAACCATGGCTTATTGCATATTCTCCACAACTGTTACGAAGAATAAAGTTTTTAAATTGATTAAAAGATGGTGGATGCTGGGACCGTTTTGTGTCAGCTTTAATGCCTGGCAGCAGGTTACAGGTTCGACTCCCAGCTGGGTGCATGTGTGGGTTACCTCTTCACTGCCCAAAATCAGGTCAACTGCTGAGTAAATGTCACCTGATGGGACTGTGTCTCCTCTCTAGCAGAGCTGCTCACTGGATCTCTCAACTCAAAAAGTCAAATTTAAGATGATTAAATGACTATCTTCAACAATATACTCAGCTTGTAAACATATAAACGTATAACGTATAAACAGCTTGTACACACATAAAAATACTTATTTTTATTTATTTTGTGTTTTTGTAATAATTATAGGGAAATATTACATCAGCAATTATTTTATTACCCTTTAAATTGATTTCTGGAGATTATCCAAGGTGCTTCATGACCCATAATTGGGTCC